ATATTTGTTCAAATTTTTTAACTTATTTATTCAAATTATTTTAACCTATCTTTCTCAATATTTTTAATATATTTGTTCAAATTTTTTAACTTATTTATTCAAATTATTTTAACCTATCTTTCTCAATATTTTTAATATATTTGTTCAAATTTTTTAACTTATTTATTCAAATTATTTTAACCTATCTTTCTCAATATTTTTAATATATTTGTTCAAATTTTTTAACTTATTTATTCAAATTATTTTAACCTATCTTTCTCAATATTTTTAATATATTTGTTCAAATTTTTTAACTTATTTATTCAAATTATTTTAACCTATCTTTCTCAATATTTTTAATATATTTGTTCAAATTTTTTAACTTATTTATTCAAATTATTTTAACCTATCTTTCTCAATATTTTTAATATATTTGTTCAAATTTTTTAACTTATTTATTCAAATTATTTTAACCTATCTTTCTCAATATTTTTAACCTATCTGTCCAAATTTTTTTAACATATTTGTGCTAATATTTTTATACTTTTAATCTATTTGTTCATATTATTTTAATATTTTTAATCTATATGTCCTAATTATTTTAATATTTTTAATCTATTTGTCCAAATTATTATAATCTATTTGTCTTAATATTTTTGCTTATATATCCAAATTGAATCTATTTGTCCTAGTATTTTTGCTTATCTGTCCAAATTATTTTAACTTATTTATCTCATAATTTGGACAGATAGACATGTCAATTGATTCATCTTGTGTCAACCCTTCTTGTTTCTACGGCAACTACAAAAAAAACATTTTTGGGTATGAAGCATGTTAAAACTGTCATTTGCAATTCGATAGGGGATGAGTTTCTTACCAATTGCTTGTCTCTCTACCTTGAACGAGACCTTACTTTGAAAATTGATTTAAATTCTATAATCGATGAATTTGAATCTTTAAAGACTCATCGAACACAACTTTGTTAGATTGTTTTTAATCAATAAATTTAGATATTAATCTAGTTTATATTATTGAAATCTCTTTTTTCTTATGTGATTATACTTAAAATATATTGTATAATTTTACCTTAATATTAGCTCATCCCACCGACGAATCCTGGGTCTGCCCTTGTATTTGTGTACTACATTTATACATCACATCTATCATGTGTAGTGTATTGATAATAGACATTAGTGTCATGACCCATTGAATTAATCCAATTATGACATATGAGACTGCAAATAAAATGTGATATATATAAATGTTGTCATCTTAATATTATTGCTTGAAAATTAATCAGGACAAAATCTTAAACACCCTTGTGAGCAATAAAAATGTTCTAACAATTAAAGAAGGAATAGACATATCCACAACCACAAAAGCACTAATTATTCATGATAATTAGAAAAGATCACATAATGCATTACATAAAACCACACATCAACCAATCAAATATATTGCAAAATTATTAAATAAAAAATGATATGCTTATAGAATTTTTATGTGAAATTTATAATAAGAATGACGCGGTAGTGACATTTATAAAATAGTGAGGATAATGATGGATATTTTTATTGTAAATGAAGAAATCACAAGATATCACATTATTTTGTATGAAAATTTTGTACATATTTTTTTCTTACATACCATTACTCTTAAATTAATATAGTATAATATCCTGCATTGGTTGGTTCAAGTCCTTTCTCAGTGGGTTCACGTAAGCAGACTTTCTCCTAAAACAATAATTTAAATATAGCAAGACACTTTTATTTTCCCTAACCTGTGGGTTCATGATTTTTATTTTGTTTACTTAATAATGTTTTTCCTTGAAAAAACATGCACTGAAAGTCTTTGTATCCATCTTGTTTTATTATCGTTTTGATGTTTTTGTCTTTGTTTGTTATGAAAGTAGAGAGATAAGAGAAAAGAGAAACTCTATATTGAATTGAATGAATAATATAATAGGAGAAGCCTGTATATATAGGCAGAAAGGTAACCTAGATAGGTACAGAAAAAGATAGAGATAAGACTAGAAGGAGATAGAGATAGAGAGAGATACAATACAAATAGATAAGTGTGACAACTCTCACCTCTGATTAGCGTTAAATTGTGATTAAGCATATTAAGTAATTGATTAAGATGAAGTCGTAAATTATTTTGTGAGTGTGTTGTTTAGAATGCATTTCTATCTGTTTGTTACTAAATGATCTGTTCATATTTTAATTCTCGAATTGCGAATTGAAAGCCTTATCGGCCACTGATTTAGAAATTGATTAGTGTTAGATGCTAATTAGGATTTATAGAATTTTATGGTAGGTTTAATTAAAATTTGATTTGGAATGATTAAATTAGAATAAACAATGTTAAATTAATTGAGCCTAGTTATTTACAAGTGTGCCACTGAGTGGATTTATACAATTGTTGACACACCATTCTTCTTGATTTCATCTTCTTGACCAAACCATGAGTAAGAGAGAGAGAGAGAGAGAGAGAGAGAGAGAGAGAAAGAGAATTGGAAGAGAAATTGAATTCATCTAGAGATTGGCTTGAAAAATTAGAGGAATTGAAGGAGAATTGCATATTTGAGCTACCACATTTGGAATTCAAGACTTAAGGTAGGAAATTCATTCCCTTAATTATGAATTTCAGTTGTTCTTGCTTGGTTCATGGAAAAATTGGTGATTAGAGTCAAGAATTAGCTTGAGGTGTTAATTTGAGAGTCCATTCATACATGCATGTCCATATTTTGGAGTTTTGAAGTTATTTTGCATGAAATTCTTCCATGCATGTCTAGATTATAGTTGTAATCTAAGAATTCATCATGTTTTTGGAAAGAATGGCTCATTTGATCATGTGTTAGAAGCTTTGAATTCAAATAAACACATGCATGGCATATTTACATCATGTTCTTTCATTTGAAGTTGGATTGGTGTTCAATTGTCATGCCTTTAGGCTTTGATTTTATGAAATGATCTCTAAAACATGTTGTATTATGAGTTTTTAAGTGTTTTCCAGAAAATTGGCCCAGAAAAATCGAGTTTGAAGCTTTAAAGGTTGAGTTTTGTGCTTAAGGATCAATCTGGAAATTCCAGATTTTTTATCCACGCTCGAGCGTAAAATTCGAGTACATGCACTTCCGCTCGAGCGTCGAGAGTCACGCTCTAGCATAAAATGCATATGCCCAGAAGTTCGTGTGTTTTGCAGTCCGCTCGAGCGAGGTAATATGCACTCGAGCGAGGGTCTGAGTCTCACGCTTGATAGTGGGTCGAGCGTCCATCGAGCGTGAAAAACGTGCAACCAGTACTTTTTCATGAGTTTGCAGTCCGCTCGAGCGAGGGAAGTCACGCTCGAGCGGAGATTCATTGTCTGTATGTCTGCTCGAGCGGGAAAATCCACGCTCGAACGAGATCCCTGTTTTCAGCAAGTTTTGAAAAATGTTGTTAAGTGCATTTTTGCATCCCCATCCCATCCTAGGCATTCCTAGGCCATGTTTAAGGCATCTTAATGAAGATAATGTTATAGAACCACACCAAGTTAGATAGGGGCTAAGTTATTAATCCCAAATGTGTAATTTAGTGTGTGTTTGTTCTGTAACTGTGTAGGGTTGGCACCCAAGGACGCTGATTAGCCTGCCTATAGTCCAGTAATCTGTGAGTAACAATGTTGTAAAGATATATTCAATTATAATTATTTTCTAAACGATCGACTGTACTGCTTTCTAAAGTGACATTGTTTACTGAATGAACGCTTGTCCTATTTTATGAACTATACTCATGGCATCCATAGCAACTTACTGTTACTATTACTGCTACTGTATTGTTACTATTACTGCTACTGTTACAGAGATCTCTGTTAGTTCCAATGTTTGGAACCAATACTATTTACTATTTCGATGGCCATCAACTGACTGTTCGGTCTATTAAGACCTATTGTATTGTTCTACTATTGGATGTACCACGTATGATCGCTATGATTTCTGAATGACTGATACGACATGAAATATGAGCCACTGATTGAATAATTGATCCACTGATGCAAACGACTGTTTTAATTACTGAAAGGACATTCTTTCTTAACCCCTTTACACAGTTGTTATTCACTGGGCTTTAGCTCATTGTTTATATATGTATGTAGGTGGCCAGGCATCGGACCAAAGCTAGGAGCGTAAAGTTAAGCTCATGTTTTGTCAAGCCAACTATTATGCCTCACTTCGAGGTTCCGAATCTGTTCAAGCCAAGGCTGTTTTGCGGAGTTCAGAATTCACCCTTTTGTCTTTGTTATGTAATGAATGTTTAAGACTTTTGATTGTACAGTTATGGGAAAGGGATTGGATGCCTAACCTGTATGTTATGTGTATTCGATGTGTATATATGCTTATGGTTATGAATGTGGCTAGTCCATAAAATTCTTTTTCCATCCAGATTTTCATAGCTCATTGGACATCTTTTATTTACTGTTTGGCTTCCGCCAGCCCCTTACTTTGTACTATTGCTATTACTGTTAAGCAGGCCTTCGGTAATCATGGATTACTGACCGGTTACGATGCTAAACCCTTAAGGGCAAGTTTGGGTCGTGACAATAAGATACATTTATAATAATATACAGCTAACACCCCCCTCAAGCTTAAGGTGGTAAGTCAGATATCAACTTGAGCTTGGAGAGGAGATCAGAGAAGTGGCCTGGAAGATGAGCTTTGGTGAAGAGGTCGGCGATCTGATTAGCAAAGGTAACAAAGAGAAGACGAACATGGCCACTAGTTACATGTTGTCGTATGAAGTGGCAATCAATCTCAATATGCTTGGTGCGATCATGGAAGACATCGTTATGGGCAATATGAATAGCACTTTGATTGTCACAATAAAGATTGATGGCAAATGAATGAGAAACACCCATGTCAGAAAGAAGCCAACGAAGCCACACAAGCTCTTGAGTAGTGTCAGCAAAAGCACGATAATCAGCCTCGGTACTAGAACGAGCAACAAGGGTTTACTTCTTGCTACACTAGGAAATGAGAGAGTTGCCCAAGAAGAAGCAGAACCCAGTAGTGGAACGACGATCAGTAGGATCCCCTGCCCAATCGACATCAGAAAAGGCATGCAGCTGTAGAGAAGAGTGAGGGGAGTAGTGAAGACCATGAAACAGAGTTCCTTTAAGATAGCGCAAAATGCGAACCAGAGTAGCATAGTGTGGAGAGCAAGGAGCAGTCATAAACTGATTAACAATGTGAACAGCACAAGCAATATCTGGACGAGTGACTGTGAGATACACAAGACTACCAACTAGCTGACGATATAAAGTGGCATCTAACAATAGGGGGCCGTCAAGAGGTGTAAAACGAGTCTGAGGATCAATTGGAGTAGTGACAGTCTTGTAATCGGTAAGGCTAGTACGAGCCAAGAGATCAGAAGCATACTTGGCCTGGGTAAAAAAATAACCAGAGGAATCTTGAGAAATTTCTAAGCCAATGAAGTAGCTAAGTGCACCCAAATCTTTCATCTCAAACTGGCGATGAAGAAACTGTTTGAGACTAGAAATTCCCACTGTGTCATCTCTAGTGATAATCATATCATCCACATAGAGGAGAATGAGAGAAGGAGAGTAGTACCGTGATCTGTCTTACGGATAAACAAGGTAGAATCATGGGCACTGGAAGAAAAACCAAAGTCACGAATGGTAGAGCTGAACTTGGCAAACCAGGCACGTGGAGCTTGTTTCAAACCATACAAAGCACGGCGGAGTTTGCAAACCTTGTTTGAGGGAACAGAAGAACCATGAGGGGGTTGTATATAAACTTCCTCAGTGAGATCACCATTGAGAAATGCATTCTTGACATCCATCTGAGAAAAGTGCCAGTGGCGAGCAGCAACAACAGCAAGTAAGCTGCGAATTGAAGTAAGACGAGCAACAGGAGCAAATGTTTCCTCATAGTCAATCCCATATTCTTGACTAAATCCCTGGGCGACAAGGCGAGCTTTATAACGCTCAATGGAAGCATCAGAATAAGTTTTGATCTTGTAAACCCATTTGCAACTAACAGTACGCTTTTCAAAAGGAAGATCAACCACATCCCAGGTATGAGTTTGATCGAAAGCCTGTAGTTCATCAGTCATAGCTTGTTGCCAAAGAGGGTTAGAAGAAGCTTCTTGATAAGAGGTAGGTTCATGAGAGCAAAAGGCAGTGGAACCAACAATATAATCACGGAGAAGAACAGAAGGTTTACAAATTAGTGAGAATTTTTTAGCGCAATTCTTGACTATGTTCTTATATTTAAAAAGATTTCCACCCATTTGTAAATCTTTTTTTTTTCTTTTCCGATGCTGAACTTTTATTTTTCAAATTTAAAATGAATGTATTGCGTAATATATTTATGTGTTGGGACATGTGATCTCAAGCCCTAAGTAAAATGTGTATTATTATTGTTATGAAAGTAGTGAGAGAAGAGAAAGAAGAAGCTCTATATTGTATTGAATGAATATTACAATAGGAGAAGCCTGTATATATAGGCAGAAAGTAAACCTAGATAGGTACAGAAAACA